TTGGGGGGGGGGTTGTAACGTTGAGAAGTGTATTATTGTGTTTTAAGCTGCCCATACACCTTACAACCATCGCACGACTTTCGTTGTGCGATGGTTGTAAGGTCATTAAGATTTCGTACGATCTGCCCATCTTGGACAGGAAGATCATACTTGCGAACATCGCAAGCCCTCCCTGCTGAGGGGAGGGCTACCGATGATTGCAGTGCTGAGCGGGCAGTGTGCGCTTGAGCACACCGTCCCGTGCGGCATTCGTCTAACGACCACGCCACCAACCTGCCAAAAATCGTACGATTTTCGGCAGGTTTTCCAGCGTGCTTGGAAGACGAAAGACGTGCGACCTTACAGTAGAAGCGGTCGCACGCTGCCAATACATCTGCCGATTATCATACGATCGCCGAATCACCCACAACTATCGTACGATTATCGGCAGGTGTATGGGCACCTTTAGTGTATGTATATATTAGGCCCCATTCACACCTACAGTATATTTCAGGTGTGATTAGAGATTCCTGTGTCAGGAACTTGCGTTTTCCCGCCGCAGGAATCCCTAATCTACCGTTTACATGCTGAAACTATCATAAGACAAGAATTATCATAAGATTATTTAAGAGGGTGTGTTTAGGGGCGGAGTTAAAGCCGGGGAAGGCTAAGGATTAGGTGGGGCAACTGGTGGCTAGTAACTCTTAAGGCCTGGCTAGTAGCTCAGGACTTGAAATTTTGAGCCCTGCCTTAGGTTATTTATTTTATTCTTGTTTTGTACTGCTTGCTACAACTGTGCAGGTTGGAGGGTTTATAGCCTCAAGGGGGTGCTGGCCTCCAGCTTTCCATGTGCCTTGTGTCCATTTCTCCAGTAGGTAGCAGTATAACCCTAGGTTGCTAAATTATCATCAAGCTGTACCTCTCAATTAATTCCAAGAAAAGAATTTTAAAGCAAGTACAAAAATCCTATATTTTCACTAACTGAGATGTCTTAAAAGGCCTATAATACCTAACAGGCTACCTACCAGTACCCTAAACTAAGTGCACACCTTCCAAAGAAATAGATTTGGCATGCTTTATTGCCTCAGTTGTCTCACCACTAGTGAATGGATTTTTTTTTTTATAATTTCACACCAGGCATTGGTGTTGTGGTATTCATTCTCTGCTGATAGCCTATAAGTTTTACCAGAAAATTAACCTTGCTGACAGTGCAGTGAAAAAGTGTTACGTGTAGGACACTGATTTCCGAGCCATAGTACATGACCACTTTGAATAATAGTTTCCTTTTATTTTTTCTTGTTTTCCGTCTAGGCCCAATCAGTTGCAGGACGCAGTCTGTGCAGGAGAGCTCCGGTAGCAACATAGGGTTGGAGGCCATAATTAGGAAGGCCCTAATGGGTAAATATGATGAGCAGTGGGAAGACCGCTCAGCACTCAATACCAATGCTTTTAACCCTTTGAATGCCAACGCAAGCCTGCCTTCTGCTATATCCATAACAGCTGCTGATGGACGGAATGACGACATGCGGTCTTTGTCAGGTCTGCTGCTTCTTTTCATTTCTTGCTTTTGGTCTTTCCTAATTATGATTAACTTTCTTGTACTTCTGCCCCCTTGAAGTTCTCTTTTCTCTTTCACACTTGCCTGTCTCTTGTAACAGTATAAAGCATTGCCTGCCTTATCTTTTCTGGTACTTTTTGTATTCCAGCCTTTGCTATCTATTATGGTGCAAGAGCAAGCAATGGAATGGGTTTATATTTCCATGCCCATTTGTTGACTACTGTGCTTCTCTTACATAGCTACATAGTATGTTAGGTTGAAAAAAGACACAGGTCCATAAAGTTCAACCTTTGTTTGTGAGTTGTGCGTGCGTGTGATTCTCTTGACCTAGTATTTAAGTATGCTTTGTGCTATTCAACTCTTTGAGCTCACGGGAGTAACAACATATATTGGAAGAATCTTCTAAGATCTTGCACTGGGCTCCTAATTTGGGCTATGACAGCCATGTTATATTTAATGCAGTGTTCAGAGGCATACAGTAGGGGTCACAGGGGTGCGGAATTCCTATTGCCAACACCCAGGACATTCAGTTCCGAGCACCAGGCAGGTGGGGTTTTTTTTCTACATTGCGGATATGCAGGGCTGTTACAGCTGCCCAGATCACTTGTAACAGCCTGTCTGTCCGTCAAGTAGTTTGTCATGAGAGACGAGCAGATTGGGCCCCCTGGAACAAGTATTTTTTTTTACATTTCCACACCCCTGGGGTAAGTTCACTAAAGTAAAAGGTGACCTGGTAAAAGGTGCACAGCTAATTCATTGTATATCTTTTCAAAATGTGCTCTTTTTTTATTTCTTCACTGGTCCGTGGATCCTTTAAACTAGCTTTTTAAGTTGCCTTCTATTAGTCAGAAGGAACCCATATCCTGTCTATACTACCAATCAACACAGCCTGCTCCCAAGTGCTGGGCGATTGGCCATATAATTGCTCCTTTTGTGGCAGTTTTGAAGTTACCACTTGCCCGATAAGAGCTTCAGGTGCTGTCAAGGTTTACACTACCTACACTACCTCTTTCTCACAGTTCAGCCAAGCTCCTCTGTGCTCTGCCTCTAAAGGTGCCCATACACTGCACGATTATCGTACGATAATCGCGGGAAATCCTGCGATCGTACGATAATCGCAAAGTGTATGGAAGGCGTGCGACCGTTTCTACTGTCGCACGACTTTTGTATTTCAAGCATGTTCAAAAACCAGCCAAGAATCGTACCATTTTCGGCTGGTTTGTAGCATGACCGTGAGATAACCGTCGCACGGGCCGGTGTGCGCACGCGCACACTGCCCGTTGAGCATTGCAGTCATCGGAAGCCCGCCCCTCAGGGGGGCGGGCTTGCGTAGATCGCAAGTACGATCTGCCTGTCCAAGATGGGCAGATCGTACGTTTTTTTAATTACTTTACAAGTGTAAAGTTTATGGCCACCTTTATTTTGCATGTATTACAGGAAGACACATTCCTACACCGACGGCACTGTTTTTCACTACGCAATTCAACCACTTGGATAAGATTCCTTAATACCTTCCTTATTCTCACACATAAATAAAACTGTCCACTCCTCTCTTACTGTGACAGCATTTAGATCATATTTTACGAACAAAACAAACTTTCTTTGCTTTAAGCTAATACTGTTTGACACTGTTTATTAGCTGAATGGAGAGAAAGCTTGCTGTAGTAAAATATGATCTAAATATGATCTGAAGGCTGTTACAGCAGGAAAGGAGTGGACAACTGTTTTATTTATGTGTGAGTACGAGACCATAGAAGATTGCTCCAATGGGAGTAAGAAACCTTATGTGTTGTGCTTATTATAGAATAACATTGCAGCATTCCTTTGTTGTACAGCTGGATTGCTGCAGACATGATAGGGGAGTTTCTTGCTCCCCTGTTACTGACCATGCAGGTGCCCACAAACCTACCCACACTAGCTTTGACAGGGCACCTTATATTTACAGGAAGACACATAGTGCCCTAACAGCCCCTCCCACAGGCTCCAGATAGGGGTACTTCTAGAGGAGACCCTGTAATGACATCACAGGGATTATAAATTAGAATATCTCTATAACTGAGCAAGAGAAGAAAAAACAACTGTATTGTTTCATTAAACAGGGTAGGAGAAGGGGATTTATATTGTGAAATTATGCTGCCTGGAGTTTAGCTTTACGATTTTATTGCATTGATCCGTTTAATTTTTGCATGGAAGATATAATATTCTTTTTTTGTGTTTTTGTATCTAAAAGAACTAGAAAAACTGATTACCCAGGATGAATTCACAGCCATTAGACAAGATGTATTGCCAAAATCACTTCCGTAATAGCTTACTCAGAATGCAGGAATGCAAGTGTTTTTCTTCACACTCTCCTTCAGAGAAATGCAAACTGTGTTTTTTAGATTAATTTGGGCATAAGGAATCTCATTCGGTTGACACTACTCCGATGGTTAAGGATACCATTGCGGACCTTATAAAGGCAGCGTGCACCTGTCTGGAGCTGGGGAAACCTGTGTCTGGAATTTATATAAGGTTAACAGAATGGGCTCGCTAAAAGGTCCTTCTCAGTACACTCGCTACTGAAACTGTTTTCTCAGGGCAACTGGCCTAATCCGGACAAATGATATAGCTTTTTGCTCAGCAGTACCCTATTGAGAAGGCGTTTCCAGAAGAAGTGGGCCAGCCTTTTCTTGTCTTAAAGGAGAACTATGAGGTGAGTGCTTTTCACTCACCTCATAGTTCTAGCCGACCTGTGACAAAGACTGTCACAGGTCGGCTCAGTAGATCGGGAGGTGAGCGAACACATACCGGGTTCGCTCACCTCTCGATCCTGTCACGGCTCTCTGCCGTGACAGGGGGAGGGTCTGGATTCCACTCTCCCTGCTCCGATCTTCCAGCGCTGACTGGCAGAACGGACGGGGGAGGGGGCGGGCACAGCTGGCTCTGCCTCTAGATAGGCAGAGCCAGCTGTCACTCACGCAGCTGGTCGGATCCCGACGTCCAGGTCGGGATCCGCTCCGGCTGCGGCGTCTCAGTATACCGCGAGCTGTAGCTCGCGGTATACTGAGCTTAGGGTAACGGGAGGACGCTAGTTTGTGTCCTCCCGTTACCCTAAGGAGAACTATGGGGGAAAACACTGACCCCATAGTTCTCCTTTAAGTTTCCATTGTTCGAGTCTATCTTTCCGATACATCTTCCTTTAGACAGTCTGACTTTCTGCCTCTCTCTCTCCACTTTTTCTAGGTGAATTAGGTGCTTTTTCATTCGGTCTTACTGTTTAAGGGCTAGTTCACGCCAGCGCCACTGTATTCAAGCCTGATTGGTGCCGAAACGCACTGGATCGCATTCCGGTCGGCTCACTTTGTTTTGGGGGGGGAGGGTTGTGACGGTGCATTGAAGTCAATGGCATCGCAGCTATGTCCTCCGCCTACACCAAAATGCGTGGCACATCAATGCCTGCATTGCGGTCTGGTGCGGTCAGAAAAAATAGTGCATGCAGCATTTTTTTTTACCACACCGGACTGGGAACGCAGGCACTGATGTGCCACGCATTCCGATGCGCGCGTTCGCACTGCGGCCGGAGGGTGTGGCTGCGGTGCCATTGACTTCAATGCACCGCCACGCCCCCTCCCGCCCCAAAACAAAGTGAGCTGGCCGGAATGCGATGCAGTGCGTTCCAGCACCAATCGTGCCAGAACGCACTAGGGCTTGTGTGAGCTAACCCTATAGGACAAGGTTCTACCTTTTCCTGTCAAAACACATTCCACCAAATCAGTTAGTGCTTTGTGAGGTTTTCACTATCCGCATTTGTTTTCCAGATTTGCAAGGTGGCCACCTGGTCTTCTGTTCACATGTTTGCTACCATTGAGATGTTCAGGCCTCCTCGGAAACCAGTTTTGTTTTGGCAAGGATGGAGAGGGATTTGAACATCTGTCAGGTTTTTACTGCCGCCTGTGTCCCTTTTAGGACACGTCATTACTGAGCCTTATGAAGGGGACCCTGCGTGGCCCCGAAAACGCTTGTTCTGGTGACATGACGTTTCAATAAACGATCACTTTGGATTTCAAATGAATTTGGTGTGCTGGTGACATCTGTCGACAAACATTGTCTGGCGGCGCCATCCGCAGTCACTATGAGCACACCCCCTACTATTGGGGATTTTCGAGTGCAACAAGGCAACTATTTATTATTTCCTGTCAGGAAGATTCACCCTCTCAATTTGTCCCAGTGGCCATTATCTTTGAAAGTAAAAGAAAATCCCAAATTTTAGGTTGTCACCAGAACAGAAATACATTGGAGATCTTCCAGTGGGGGCACAGATTCTGCTGACCACCAGAGAGTTTCCTCATTTTGCAGAGTTTTCCTCTCACTTCCTGGCTATCAGGGCTTGTTCACACCATGTCCAGACAGGTTCCACATACGCATTTATGCATGTTTTTGATGCGTTCAAGTGCATTTTTTTACATGAAATGTGTGTTTATGTTTATGCGTTTTGGTGCAGATAACAAACGCACCAGTCTGGAGATAGTGTGAACAAGCCCTCAGACAGGACGTTAAGGATAATTCCACCAATGGGACACAGTTTGCAAAAAAAAAAGTGAGAGGGGTTATACCTCCCCCCACTCTATCCAAAACTAAAAAAAAACAAATATCTTGGCTTTCCCATTCCTCAGTTGGACTGCTTTTGTACATACCAATGGTCTAAGAATTCAAGGAGCCTGTGTTCTGTAATGTACAATTAAGAAGAAACGATTGTTTTTTCTTGTAAAATCCTCTTTTTGAGTACAGTACAGAATACGGGCCCCGTCCATCTGCTTTTATGATCCACTTCTATTATTGTTTGCTAAAAACTAGAGACATGCTTGTAGTGGTAGGGGTTACATAGGGCTGTCCTTGCAGCTTTGTTTGCCATTGTCCAATCACCTAAATGCAGCTGTGTATAATGGAATGATCTAACAATTATAGGAGCTTGTGTCTTATAATATAGTCACAGAAAAGGATTTTACAGGTTAGACGAAAAACCCTATTTTAAATGTCATCCTCATATTTTTACTGGGCTTGTTCTGCATTGTCTCTTAATTAGTGGCTTTGCTGTTAGCATATGTGATACAGAGGGTGTCTAAGCTAGAACAAGAATTGAGCAATAGGGAGGAAATTGACATGTAATAGCATTATCAGAGAGTCCAATGTTACTTTTCCATTGGCTATTACAAGTGATGGCTTTTGCAAACTTGTTCAGAATCCATGGATTTAGGGAACTTTTGCAATACTCTTGGATTGTTTGTTTGATTTCAGGTAGTGGAGGAAAACCCAAAATATCGAGGCCAAACAGCCGAAAAACAAAGTCACCTGCTCCAGGACAGTCCTCTGGAGAACGCCCTCCTTCTGCATCTTCAGTACACTCAGAAGGTGACTGTAACAGGAAAACCCCTTTAAGCAACAGAGTGTGGGAGGAGAGGCCATCTTCAACAGGTGAGCATTCCAATTCCTGTCCCTCTGTTCTATATTTTCCATTTTTAGTTAGTGCTTAGCTTTTACTTGAATTCTGCCACTGGTTCTAACAGAGGAGCCAAGTTGATTCATATAAGATTTTAAATAAACTGGCTAATGTGTGCTTGTTCACGAATACGTTTTACTGGATATTTTATTTTAGCTATGAGTGGTTTGCAACACATTGGTTATGCATTACTGCCCTGTCAGACAATATTTTAACTTCTCACACACATTAACTGATTATGGGGAGAGAGATAGTGGAACTTGACTGTAAAATCTGAGAGTCTGGGGAGCAGTGCAGAAACTGAGCAAAGCTGGGAGGTGGATTGGTAGAATGGGAAATTGATAATGGACCACTGGAAAAAGAATGAGAGCTGATCAAGGACTGTAGAGGGCAGAGACAAAATTGCAGATGATCATGGGCCAGGGGAATGAGAGAGAAGCCAGAAAGGCAGCTGATTATGGGCTGAACAAGGAATGTAGAAAAAGGAAAGTTGATGCTGATCATAGTGGTGGGTAAGGATTGTTGAATAGCAGTATGTAGAATGGGATACGATTATGGACCTAGAAGGAAAAATATAGGAGATACAGTTAAGGCTGATCATGGAGCAGGCTGGTTGGGTGAGAGAGGGGGGGAAGCTATTTGTTGTAGAGCTGCAGCTAACGATTATTTTCAAAATCGATTAGTTAGCTGATTATTAAGTTCAATTAATCGGATAAAAAATAAAATACATTTAAAAAAATGGCTCCAGTGATGGGACTTCTAGTTTGTATTGAGATTGTAGTCCATCACAGGAGTAAGCTTGGAGCGGTGGAAGTAAAAAAGAAAAACAAAACTGTGGTGTGTAATATAGTGAAATGAAAAGTGTAAAATTATACAGCAATGAATGCAGAATGGCATCGGCTATAGAGGACTACAAAACCCAGCAATAGTACATTATACAGCACAATGCAGAATACCACCAGCTATAGAGGAATACAAATCCCATGCAGGCGGGCGGGTCTGGCAGCGGTGAGCGTGAGGTGGGGAGGAGGTGCGGCGCGCAGTGTGTGTGGAGCCGTGAAAAGGGTCAACCAATCGGAAGCCGATTAATCGATGATTGAAAACGTTGACAACTTTTTCCATAATCGATTAGTTGTTGCAGCCCTAATTTGTTGACTGATTGGAAGAGCAAGGAAGGAGAATTGAAGCTGATCATGGACAGAGAATAGAGAAGGGGTGAGCAGAAGCTGATCATCTGATATTTCATATGGGAGATTGTCTTCACCCTGGCAGCTAGGAGACATAAGGGTGAAGACTGCATACTCAAGAAAAGACAGCTTTGTGAAGAAAGGATTCGCTACAGAAAGGCAGGCGTACAAGGGCAGCTACAAGCGGCTGTCAAAGGGCTCCAAGACGAGGTGCAGCATAAAACACAGGGAATCGGAGAGAGAGAGTATAGTGCTGAATACAGTGGACTTTTTTTCAGATTATGTTGTTGGGGAGGAGGGTGGGGGAGGGGTTGTAAGAAACAGCAATGCCTTATAACAGCGGGGGGAAACATACAAGAGAACCTACTCAAACAGTGTTAGGACAAGAGCTACCTTAGAACAGTGTGGGGAGAACTTCAAGAGAACCTATTACAAACAGTATGGAGAACTGTGATATGGCATTCTTGTAAATTCTAAGCAGTGTACCCATAGCAAACTTATAGAAGATGTGTTCTCTACCATATCCAAAAATACATTAGAATATCCAGGTTGTTATTATAGTTATATTAGTGGCTAAAAGAGCAGAGAACTAGATTATAATATGAAGGAACACCTTTTTATTACATATTGTGGATTAATGTGACCACACCCCTGCAATCCCTGTAGTTGTATCCTATATCATGATTTGGTTGGTGTCGAAGCTTAGTGGGAGCAGTGATGTGCCCCCCCTTTCCCTCACTGAAACATACAAGGTCACATGCTGTCCCATACCTGGAAGCACTGAGTATTTTTCTCCTGCTAAGGGACTGGGATGAGTGGTAGAGGATCACTGAAGATGTGATTATTAGTGGGTGGGGCTTTTCAAAGACAGTGTAATTTTACCCTGAATGGTAGAAATGACAGTGTCTTTTTAACCTATGTGGTTAGTACTCAGTGTACATTAGTGGGCAGAAGATGAATGTGTATTTAAAAATTGTGTATCATTTTAATTTGTTTTATCCTCACTGTGTATTATGGTAATTAATATACTTGAGTTCCAGATGAAAATATTTCAGTGCATACCATATCCTTTGGAAATAGATGATGGGATCTGCCATACACTAAACACTTTCAGTATATGAACAGTATAGTCATCGTTACAATAGAAATGCAGAAGGTTATAGAATAGAATACTGAAAGTTATATTGCAGTTCAAATATCAGAGAGAAAAACTCTTAGTAATATGCCTGTCAACAATGGTATAAATGACAGATTAGTACCTCTATGGGTACTAACCCAAATGACAAATGTTGAGTTCCCATGTACTGTATGTATTTAGTTTGGTTGATGCTGTGTTCCCAGTCCTGTAAATCCATGTAACCATATGGTATTCTGCTCCAGAGAAGCACTATAATCTGATACTGACTTTACTCTCTGCCACAGGGTCAACACCATTTCCATTCAATCCATTAACAATCAGGCTCCCCAACAGCCTTGTGGCTCCACAGTCTTCAACCACCATTCCACAGAGCAACTCGTTAACCCCGCAGAGAGCTCGGGATGAAGAGCCAAAACCACTGCTTTGCTCCCAATATGAAACTCTCTCTGACAGCGAGTGAAAGTGTCTTTGTGGTAAGCATATCAATATGGCAAGTCTGAAAATGAAAGAATCCCCACAACCACTCTGAATGCTCAGAAGCAGCCGGTGAGATCCTGCGACTGGAAAGAAAGGAAACGTCAATCGTATGAAAAGCCTTAAAAAGACTCCATAATCTTCAGTTGAGGGTCCGTGGGGTTTTTTCAATTTGTGGTGTGCCACTGCTCGTGAAGGAGTAGACAGTCCCAGACCTTGCAGAAGATTGGATTATTCAGCTCAAAACTCAGGGGATATTTCCACCTGGTGCTTTGCTACATTGCATTGGTTTGTTATCAAAGCTAACTTGTAAGCGTGATGACGTATGTCTGTGTACATTGTATATGTATGTACGTGTGTTCATATGCACTTAAGATATATACACATTCCAGTTTATTGCACACCGACCTAGCAGTGCAGAGCAGCTGCATGCATGGCCACAGCAGAACTGTTACCAGATTGGTTAGAATCCTACCAAAGGCTCCCTTGCCATGTCTTTCTCCTTGGCGCATCAACTTATGTGCTTATAGCACTTGACATGCCACCCCCTACTTTTTCCCAACCTATGGAATGTTCTGCTGAAGGATTATTAGTGAAATAAAGAGACAGACTTTTGTGCAATCACTGCATGTTTTTTTCATGGTTGCAAATTTGCAGATGCAACTTCACTGTACATACTGTGGCACCAACCTACACATAATCATACATGTGGGTTGCTTGGTGTCGCTTGGTCCTAATGATGCTGACCTTTCCCTTCATGGCTTTTTTTTTTATGCTGCCTTGGATAAACATTAAGTAAAATGATAAAGAACATTAACGTTTAAACCTTTTTTGCCTTTCAGTAAGTAAGATCTATTGTGATTGTGTTACCGGGTGTCAGGCCTGCAAAGTTAGCTTAGGGGATTGGCCTCCTCCAATGCAGTTGCTCAGCCTGGGAGAGCATCCAGTGAGGTATCCATTATCTGTGGGTAAACAGGGTATGCTGTTTTAGCATGTGTCCAAAATGATGGTTGATCCCTTTGGCTGCAAAAGGAGAAGAAAAACAGAGGTCCAAGTACTTTCACCCATCTCTAAAAGATGAGGCTTGTGTGGCAACATCTAGTGGGCTATATTATAAAACTGTAGGTACTGAGAAATGGAATGTTGGTCTTTGCCAGCCAATCAGATACTTCCTATCATTTTTGTACTGCAAGCAACTTGAAGGCAGGCATCTAATTGGCTGCTTAAAGCAATACATCCATTTGCCTTTCTTCCAGTTTTATACAATAGCCCTAGTAGTGTTTATGCAAAATGTTATATTGTCCCATAAAGTATTGTCTTTAAAAACAATAAAATGTGCTTTCCACCATACTGTAATGAGCACAGATCTTACAACGGTGTGTGGCCCCATCATTTAGAATGACTGCAGCCATTCACCCCATTTTATTTGGGCTTGTGTGTATGTATGTATATATACTTGCTTTGTTGACCTTGGGTCATAATTACACATCCACACTTACAACATGGCTTCTAGGTTTAACATTAAACTGTTTTAGCACTTGCTGCAATCTTTGTATTTATGCAGTAGGAAGCTGGTACATCACTTGAAACTGAATCTCCAGACCTTAGTTTTGGGTGTTTTATTTTCTGTAAAGCAAACATGTCATGTATAATACATTGTTGTTTCTTTTTTTTATACAGGGAATGATATAGTAAATATATATTGTGGAAAAAAAGAAAAATAAATTAAAACATTACCCCTTATATGTGCTGTGGGGGCTGACATTTACTACTTGTGTGGTCTTAATATATTTGCATCCTTGTGCATTCACTTCAAAGTTGAAAAAAACTATTAAGCATATAAAAATATGAAGTGGTATGTAAAAAAATTATGATAAGCTTGATGAATTATGCAGGTGACCATTTTGGGCACATAAAAGAACATTCATCAGGTTACATGCAAGCTAGAAATGTTACAATTTTATTTCTCATTGAACTGATGAGTGATATTCGGTTATTATTTCAGACTACAAAATGAGTTCCATTACTATGCATATGGTGGAGAGACTGCAGAAAATAAGTGTTTACTACTGAGTAGAAAACGATGTTCAATTACCTCTTCCTCTATAGAAACATCAAGGAGTAGATTCATACTTTTTTAAAATATTGTAAAATGTGTACTTAGTAGAGCAACTATAGAAGTAATACAGTAAAGCTATGCGTTGCAGACTTAGGCAGTCCTTTCTCAAGCAATACACAAATGGCACAAACACACATACAAAGAACATGTAACATCAAAAGCACGTGTATAACAACGCAATAGCTGAATAAAAATAACTGACAATGACAGAGTTAATATCCACCATCTAAATATGAAATTATATTGTTAGAGATACAAAGAGCGGCATTCACAAGTGCTTGAGGCATCAATAGGTTTAAATCCCATCTAAAATTGAGCCCCTTCCGGAAGCAGGTGTCCAAAATCATGATCCAAGGTGCCTCCTGTTAAAAGAATTCATTTTTTTAAATAACCACCTCTAATCTTTGAATATTCTCTCTGTTCCAGGTAAACGTAGACGTATCCCCTGCGGATCTGTAAAAAGTGTTCTGACATGTTTTCCCTCTAGGCTGTTAGTATCACATAGAATGTGCATAGATATTTAGCGTGATTGTGCTTATTGAAGGTAATTGTGTAGAAATGCATTCAGTAATCCTTTTCCTACGAGGGTGCATAGTGCAGCCTACTGTACATTTTGAACCTTGCAACTTAAACAAGAAACTATATAAACAACTCATTTAGTATTGCAATTTATGTATTCTTTGATAGTAAAATCACAATCACATGCAAAAGACCGCTTGGGTGACCACATATGTAGGACCACATTGGGGGATTTATCAAAACTGGAGAAGGCAGAATCTGGAGCAGTTGCCCATAGCAACCAATCAGCTTCTCTCTTCAGTTTCTTCAGTTAAGATTTGAAAATGAAAGAGAGAATCAGATTGGTTGCCATGCAAAGCTGCTCCAGATTTTGTCTGCTCCAGCTTTGATAAATTCCTTTCATTGTGTGCAGCCAAGTATACCGGTGTTCGTTACCCTCCTGAAATAAAGTTAGAGAAAGAATAGTTACTAAAATAGGAGAGCTTACTAACCAAACACCTTATTGCAAGACACAATCATAGCCATTATCTCCATATAAAATAGGAAGATTCTTTCTTACAATATCCAGAATCATCTTATATTTAGAACTGTACTGTGTAAATAAACTAGGTACATGCATTTGTCTCTTTAGCTGGTCGTAGATGGGTAAAATTGTGGCTAATTTCTGTTGAATTGGATGCAATTTGAGCTATGGGTGGCCCTGCAAAGTGGGAGTATACCAATTGGCAATGATGTTAACTTAAAGCTGAACTCTAGGAGAAGAAATTGTCTAAATTCAAGAAGAACCAAAGACACTAATAGTTTTTAAAATATAATTGGTTGCTTTTATGTGTTCTCTTTTGGAGGGTTTACAACCACTTTAACTTTTCTCCCTGGGGAAGGATGTCCCTTCCAGAATTCCAGATACCTTTCTGGCCTTGGTGGATTTTTTTACTCCCTTGTTTTTCATTTTGTAAGATGAGAGGTCTTTAAAGTTTCTTTGACAACTGTTGTAACATCACCCTCAACCTCCTGCATGTGAAGTAACATGCCCTGAAATCTCAGAGGCACTATAAAATTGTTCTGAAAAGCTCCCTTTTTACAACATTTCTTTAAGATAGATTTAGGAGTACGGAGCCTACATGGTTCCCTACGGCCCCACTCACAAACAGACCTGCACTGTAATATTTGCAATCCCATAAATATTTGACTTAATATGGGTAATGCCTTGTCCCATTTTAGAGAGACAATCTTTTTTATTATTATCCATATCTTTGTACATTTGTGTATCTTTATGTGGTTCCATGGGTTGTCGTTTGGCACCATTTCATTTACAAAGATCCACCAATTTTTGTATCTCCTGTGATCTTATGAATCTCAGCAATTGCAAGGATCAATCTGATCGAACATCGTTCCATTTTTATTTCTTTTTGTATCCTATTCTAGTTGGGATTTTCCTAATATGGAGCCTTCTATGTATCATAACCCTGTAACATATTAGTTGACATTATTCAAATTCCTCCATACATGTACCTTATCCGTAAGTAGGTTTTGTAACTGGAAAAAATCTTTCTGCAAATTTATTGTCGGAATGTTATGTTCCCTGTTAAGTAATATAGCCAACTGTCCAAAAAAGCACCAAGAACTTACCGCTCCCATTCCACCTCTGACTGTCGATTAATGTGTATGCCGGATGCAGGCCACAGCGTGCTCCCGCTCCTTTAACGATTCTTTGTACAATCAGCCGCACAAAGACCGGTATCCATAAAAGTCCAACTGTATTGTAATAGTTTCCAGATAAAAATCTAAAATCAAACGTAGTATAGCAAACACATCACCATTGTATCTCTCCCACACCAGCGCCTCTCCCGCGTTCCACCACCTGGGCTTAATCGTAGAGGACTGTAGCCAACTGGTTTAATCTCTGTGAACAGTGTACAACATTCTCTAAATCAGCCATATTAAAAACAAATGACTTCAGTAGAGTTACCAAAGTTGCTAAATTGCTCCACACACTACAATCTGTGTTTCAAAAGCAAATCATCAACAGTGAGAATTTTACAGTATTAACAGATGGATAAGTTATGGTATCAGGTGAACTTCCCACTCCAATTTTACAGATTCTCAATCTTCCATCAATAACTGCAGATAAAAAGTGTAGAGACTTTCTAGTGTAACCTTATCACTTGTCTCCTCCACAGCTGTAATGGGGAGATTTGTGCAGGACTCCGAGCATATACAAAGCAGAAAATTGCTCATACAAGTTGTATGCAATCCACTTAACTGTAGGTGCTCACATTTCAATTCTGTGGAGCATCTATGGTGGATTCATTCTCCTCATCATTAGCCTATTTGTATATGGCGTGGTGGGAGGAGCTCTATATTTTCCTAAAGACTACAACTTTTTCTGCTTGTTACTGTTCTAGTCTTTTAATTGGACATTTTTGTAATTTTAAACAGACCAGTGGAGGTTTTCCCTTCCTTTATCTCATATTCAAACCAAAATCAGTCTAATTTACAGTTTTCTGAAAATTTTATACAAAATGTAGAATTTTTGGATCTTTCTCTTTGTTAATTCAAACAAGAAACCAGCCACTGTACTTTTCATAGGCCATGTACTAGAAATTCATTGTGAGTTATTTCATAGCAAGAGAAAAACCTCTGAAGAACCTGTTTTAACTTGGGAGTACCCTACGTAGATGCTTGATAGGGCTAGAAAAATTGCAGACTTGTAAGGATATAAGTAGTTTATTACAAGAAAAATACTATACTAAGACTAACAGGAATAAGATACAAAAAGTGACCTACTTTCCCAACACAGTACTGTGCTGAATACAGTATACCGGTACTACGATTGTTGATATTGTAACAAATCGTCCTATTTCATATGGGGATAATGGCTTTTTAAATGTCTTATTACAAGGTGTTCGGTTTGTCAGTCGTTGATCTCCTACTTTAGCAGCTATTCTTACTCTGAGTTTAA